GTCAAACGCTCCAACACGTTTGCAAATTAATTCGATCAATTAATACGTGCTCGGTTGAGCGCGCGCATTTTCGAATCTATGTTTCTATCTTCAATATGGGTAACTGCATCTATATCTGTATGTTATTTACATATATATGTTGGTACGTGCGTGCACTCGATTTGTACATCCACGGTATTCACAGCTGTGCTATGTCTACATAGAATTTTCTCGTTTATTCGCTTATTCACTCTCTCTTTAGCTCTCTTTCCCTCTCTCTATCTCTCCTTTATCCTCTCCGCCTCTTCTCCTACACTCTTGTGCAGCTCAACACACACGTTTAGAACTTCGCGAGACCAAATCAATACGCTTTCCATCGTCGAAATCCGCCATTTTACTCTCTCGAGATTTATTTTCATTTTATCAATTAGTTTGATGTGCAAAAATTAATGGCTGTTTTGTGGATTCGAAAAAAATTGTCTGCCATCAGAAAAATATTTTTTAATAATAAAAAGATTCATTTTAATTAGGTACAATTAATTGATGATTTTTTGACTCCAAATCGATAAAATGGAGTGAACTTCAAATAAAGCACTCAATTATTTATTTACGTTATTAATAAATAAATAAATTAATTTATTGAATAATTTTTTATTCAATTTATAAAAATATTAGTCAATAATAAATAAGATCTGATTTTTTTTCATTACAACTAATTGAAAATTAAATAAAAAATGATTAATTAAAATGAATATTTATACATTGAGGAGTTAAAATAAAAACTTGCATGGGAAAATTTTAACATAATACCTAATTCATTTCTTTTAAATCAAAATGTTTTATGAACCTTAATGAAAACCATAATTGATTCAGTGATAAATACAAATTAATAAATGAGTGCTCTGTTGATTTACACATGTGTTGATAATAGCATACAAAAGAATATTAATAATTACATCCTTTAATTAAAAAAATTTTTCATGTTATATTTATTAATACACGAGGTTAAAAAGCTATTTAAATTTTATTCCATGGTAAGGTTTTTATGTATTCTTATACCTTCATTAAATTAAATTTATTAAATAAATGTGTAGTTTAAAAGATTATCGTACATACCCTAGCTATAAAGCAAATTTTTTCTACACTAATAATTTTTATAAGTGATCAAAAAATTCCATTAACTTAAGTATTGATATACGAGCTCAGGTATAGTTTTATTAAAATATAAATTACCTTGATTTATAAATTTAAAATATAAAACACAATATCCTCAGCAATTTATCCAAAGAAAAAGCTGATATTTATTCGATAATTGTAGTTGATTAAAGAATTTTCATAATCACACGCGAGATTGTTGTAAGTTGATGACATACTGTTTTAAATAGATGGTAAAAAAAGTACTTCGCGACTAATCGTGATTACGTGATAGTTTTAAAGCTCATAGAAGATGCGTGAGTGCAAGCAACAAAGGTAAAACGAGTCTCACCCACGCGAGAATGTATATAACTTGACGTAAAACACTTAGATGTAAGCACCTTTTCTCTCTTTCCCTCTTATATCTCAAGTGTATATAAGTCAGCCCAATCCAAGCCCGGTGATCAGATTGGATCGCTAGCTGATAATCGAGTTGTTGGCACCTGTGAAGCAGACATAATTAATGCCAGCCTAGCTAGACGAGAATCTCAATCGTTCTCTCTCGTCTGCTGCTTTATACGCGTGCGTCACACGCAACATTATATTCCCCTTCTCTATTTTATCACACGTACCTACCACTTTTGTTAGCACATTACCTCTAATTAACTATCCTATGCTACATATATAACAATTGTACCGGGTAATGCTGATGCATCAGAGATGCAGGAGTAGAGGAAGTGGATGAATAATGTACGTGTTAACATATCAGCATGGTGTTATGGTGCCAGTGTGCTCTGGAGCAAAGAACTATTCAATATTTTTATTATTAAATATTGCTTCTAGTATTCAGTTCATTTTGATTGCAGCAGACCAACAGCATGCTGACTTGTTCCTATTGAAACATGAAAGCTGGATGAAGAAGCAAGTTGATTGGATTGAAGAGAAATGTTATTGTTAATAAATAAATTGATTTTATTACTTTTTGAATGAATAGACATTTGTTGAATCAATTAAATAAATCTTGTAGCTATTGAATATTCAATTATGCAAATACATGCTTTATTTAAAAATTTTTAATAAATGATTGACTTGATTTCATTTCTTTTTCAACAAATCAGGTTTTCAATTAATCAATGTAGTACCATTTGCTGGAAGTGTTGAAGAGCTCAGACCTCTTGACAGCAGAAATAAAACTAAATTACACACATGATGTAGGTTTGCTTTAATTTATAGTTATTTTATTATAAAGCTTTACTTTGATTAGAATGTATTCTAACTCTGCTTCTGCTATTTATTTTTTTTGTAGAATTATCACCTTTCAGCTGCCATGTATTGGAATAAAATAAAAATGAAGTAATTCAAATACACTAAAGAAGTTAATATTTATTTTTAAGAATTCAATTTTGTGAAGATTTAATGCTCATTGAAGCTGAAATATTCAAGAAAAATGAAGCATGATGCTTAAAAATTGCAAGGTTCAAATTAGCAATCTGATATCACTCGTTGAAAATAAGTAAATTAAGTCGAGAAAGAATGTCATTTTATAACAGATGCTTAAAGTTCTAATATTATCAATGCTATTAAAAAAGTAAAATAATTATCCCAACAATCTCAGAGCTTGATTAATCATTGATGTTCATAAAAAAATCATCTGTGAGAGTTTGGACGATTCTGTTTGACAAAGGACTTTATTAAACAAAGATCATGATTATTTTTATGTGTTTAAAAACGATTCGATCATCATTTTAGTATCCTCTACATTTTAATACCAGTCTTTTTCTTGAACTTCAATTATTAAACCATATGCTGCTAATTATAACTGAATATTCATCATTCTTGTAATTACTATCGATGCTGAAACATTTATACGCTCAAATCATCATCTGAGCTATCAAGAAGTTTAAAAATCGCAAGATGAAACATCAAAGCTTCTTAGAGAAAAATCATAGTTGTATGTAGCACGTTAACAACTTCAAGTTCATATATAATATAAAGTACCTATCGCGAACGGAAGTAGGCGGTTCAGAGTCGGTCTACGACCAGCAAGAATCCTCGATCATTCTTCTACCAAAGGTTGTTTCTACCCTTTTGTATATCTTTCTTCTCCTTCTTCCATCTGTTTATTCTGATTTTCCAGGTATATATTTGTCTTTATTCCAGCTATGACTCAAACGAGTAGGGTAATTAACGATTTAACAGACACGCTTGATGAGCATCAGGCATCGAGGTGCAGCTCACCTTAGTTAACCAAGTTGTTATTAGGCTTGACGCGGCCAAGCGTCGGGAAAGATGTAGCTTTCTCACTCTCTGCATGTTGTTCCTGCTCCAACAATATCCTCGTTTGTCCTCGAAAACTATCTATATGTGCAATAGTGTAATTCATAGTCTTTGGTTGCTTCCTCCTCATCTGTACTTAGCTAGTTGCACATTGACGAAGCCGTTAATGTTTTGTGTATTCAAATAAAGAGAGTTGATGTACGTTAACACGCAAGCATTGCACACCTACTGCAGAAGGATTTTAAAACTCTGGCTTATAGGTAGAGAAGAAGGAGAAGAGAAGGAAGAAGACGAGGAAAACGATGAAAAAGAAGTGTAAAAAAAGAAAAAATAAAAAAAAGGAGGAGTTGGATCCTAATGGCTTTATAATGCCTTCATTTCGTATTAAAACGCCGCTACTTAATTCCCATCCAGCAATAGTTTTTTCACTCACTTCGTATATACGTCCAGCAATTATTTACGTTATTTTCTCCTCACCTTGGCACACTTGAGAATTTTACAGCAGCAGAAAAGATTATGTGAAAAATCCTAATTCTACACAGGGGCAACACCAGCCAGCTTCAACGTATCTTCAATAATATTTACGTCGACGCCGGGTTAATTCATGTCCGCATAATGGCCGCGTTTCAACGCGCCATAACTTCTCTTCCATAACCATATTTTCATATTGCATATATGCAACAGTCTATAATTTACCAAGAAAAAAAAATGCCAGTGCACATAGACTAGCACCACGTGACTGCAGTGACTCGACACCTTTTCGTGACTTGCCAGAAGTTTCACATGGACTCTTCATCATCGTATTCTGATGCCTAGCATTAATAGTTGACTTCTTTCATGTATCTGATGATTTTATTACTATTAAGACGTGAACTTTGAGTCTTTGAATAGCAGAAAATTGAAACCGACTATGGGAATTTCCGGAAATTATGTTTTAATACGTCATGTTATCATGTAGCTCTCAAGATATCAGCATTTAACATCTAGAAGTCATTAAAAATTCATTTAAAACATCATTGATTTGAAGTAATTCTGTTATTGTATGTACAAAAATAGAATTAAATTGTTCAAGAATAATATAGAATGTCATGTTTAATTCTCTCATCACATCAGATGTTCAATAATAAAATAAGAATAAACCGAGGTAAAAAGTTGGATAACAATTTATTGAATAATCGTGTCAACTGTAATTAGAATAATAAATCAACGAATATCAACCAGAAATAAATGGCATTCGATTGTACTCTGCATATTCTTCATGACATTAAGTACTGCACGGTACATAATTCGTTGATTCCACGAATTACAGACTTGGACAGTGGATCGCGTGATACTTTGAGGCCGGTAACGCAAATATCCTGTAACTGTTCAAGCCAAATTGCTCCGCTAACATTTGCCCTCCTATTACAACCACCCTGAAGAAAGGAATGAATCACTCAGCGCTTGAGGGTTTTTAATATTCATGTACAAAACTCCATGCTACATCAGCTAATAATTAATGAATTTACCTGCTGCAGTGTAGTACTTTTAGCATTTTATCGAGAATCGATGTAAGAATACAAAGGTATTTACAATGGATACAAAAATATCAACAATAATTTGAAAACCAATTCTCAGTACAAGAGTTTTTCTTTTTTATTTTTAGGGTTTATTTACATGGGACATTAGCTTGCAGTGCGGTTTATCATTACAATAGATAATGCTTTTTCCGAAACACAAGCAATTTATTAACAATATAATAATTAATTAATAACGTTTTACGCTAGCACTATTTTAGCGATAAAATTTTCGAGACATCACCGACAGCTATGGGTTTTGAAATTTTAATTAAGATTATATCTTAAAATTGTCTTTAATTTTGATAAATATTTTAAGTGTGTACACCAATAGCTCTCGGTTATTTCTCGTTCTAGACAATAATCTTTTTAAAAAAAGAAAAACATAAATAACGATAACAGTATGCAATAATAATCACCAATAATATTAATATTACGAAATATACAGCTTATGTTACACAGAGAGACGAGAGTGTTTTTGTTTTTTTTAATATTTGCACATAATTTTTTCCGTCTCTTTGATTCCTCTTATAAGGAATGCATACAAAAAATACTTATCGAATTCATATTACACTCATAATCATTGAGAAATTCAGATAGTTCATTTGTAACTCTATGAAAACACTGGGTACTTGTGAACAATCAACGACTACGAAGGTGATAGATCTTGTGCTTCACGATAAAGACTATCAGTAGGCGAAGGTGTAGCTCGTCTTGATGCTGATGGTGATGAAGCTGAAGGAACTGATGGCTTTCTACCAGTCATACTGGGATATGGTGAGAATCGATGATGAGTTAATGCCAGAGCTGAAGGATATATTGGTCGAGGTGCAGCTGGTCCTGTAGGCGGACTTTGTTGTGAGCCAGATGCAGCAAGTTGTTGTTGTTGATGATGGTGTGCAGCAGCAAAGAGCGTTGGACCTAACGATGATGCCCACCATAAATGACCTAGTTGTTGTTGTTGCTGTTGATGCTGCTGTTGTTGGTGTTGTTGTTGCTGTTGATGACTCGACCCTGCTACTGTTGAGGCACTTGGATAGACCAGAGCAGGACTCACTAGCTGAGCATAAGGTCCAACAGCTGCAGCTGCTGCAGCCCTTAGAAGTATCTGAGATCGTGCAGCCCATAACGCTTTCTCTTCTAAACTAAGATTGCTGGCTCCACTTTGAAGTTGTTCCATTTCGAATGGAAACCGATGAGGAAATCGCATTGATTGCTGTTCTGCCAACATTGATTCCATGGTTTCCCTGAAAGGAAAACTGTTTGATTATGTTTTTTGTTCTTAGTTTTTAATTGATTATTGATAGAAAGTTTGGAGTTATTAGCGTACAAGTTGCCTCTGGCATATTTTTATGACCAATATGATTTACTGGAATGATTAGATTGAAATTATGTTGGATTAAAAAGTAATTAATAGAAATTAAGAAATATAATTCAAATAAATCTGATAATTAATTTATTTATCTTTAAAAATGTTTAATATTTTTCCAATCAAATTAGTTTCCTTTGATACAATGAACATGAAATTTTTTATATTTAACAAAAAGTTGTATACCTTGACTTTTAAAAATTCTATGAACATTCAAAATTTTTTATAAAGAAACCAGGACTTACCTCTCAAAGTCTGTAAGCCGCGAAGAATCCCGGAATCCTTTGGCGAACGGATTACTGTCTATCTTCAATTTAGTTATCTGGAATCAGAAGATAAGAAGATTGATTGATTGACATTAGGTAGTTGGTGCTTATGTAGTAATAACAATCAAGATAGAACTGGAACTAAAACGAAGGGGTGTAAAAAAGAATAATGAAATTGGACCTGATACAAAGACCTACAAATAAAACAAGCGTCCATGTTTTATTGCGCGTAGAATTTCTATCATGAGTTCCAGGGAGTGTAGAATGGTGTGCAGTCTATCTTGTGTCCTTACAGGGTCCTTGTTATCGTTGGGTAGCACGTCGAATGGCAATTTGTGCCGGGATTGTGTCGAGCGTCGTCGCGACAACATCAACGATCCGTATCACTGAAAACGACGTCTCGACGCCTCATACAAAGTTTACTGTACCTATTCGCATTTTAGTTTTGTTGCTGTCTTTGTCTCTGTTATTTTCTACTCATCTCCAGAATCGATCGGAAGTCAACGGCTCGTAAAATTAGAAGGCGAGGGTGACAAAACAAAAAAGGGTAGGAATGAGAAAGAAGAGATATCTGGTATGATATATATGAAGAGGGGAAATTGAGATTGGCCGACGATCGTTTCAATTATTGTCAAGTGCGACAAATCCCTGCAGTCTTGAATAATCGTACTCTAAATCAAGATTAAAATATAAACTAATTCAACTATAAACATTTATATATATATATATATATATATATATATATATGGTTGGCGTAGTTAGGGGAGCAAGAAAACATGTAAAACCGGATAATATACAAGTTAATTAACATTATCAATCTTCAATAATTTTTTCGTTATCGATCTGGATTGAATTACACTGGATCTTTAGAAGCCAAGACCTTGTTAAAGGCTTACCAGTTCTCCACGTGATTCACTGCTTCTCTCGTTATACACCAGCTCATATGTTGTGTTGGTGACGCACGGTGTCGAGTTATACGATGCCCAATATCCTCTTTAAATCCGCGGAGTTACTAACATACCCAAACTCAAGCAGCTACATGCACTGAGGTGGCTTTCTCAGTTGTGAATGTGTACGCAATCTTACCCTAAGTCTGAGGACTCGCGTTTCCCTGGGGCCCACCCAACACGCATAGCGGATGTATACAGGTGGCCTTGAATCAAGTCGAATAGTAGACATAATGCGTGGGTGAGACACGTGTTAATTCGTATAAAACAATCGTATTTTTTGGGATTGAATTGTCATGAAGAAAAAGTGACTTGCCTCCCCGAAGAACAAATAAAAATAAAATCAAGATTACATTAGAGTTCATTAATCATTCGCCCGATGTAATCATCAGTAATGTGTCAAGGTCTTTTCTCTTTAGACCCGCCGGCAAAATACGGTGGCATGTATCTCTTTGACAGATACTTTAAGAGTGTGTTAAACCCTCCTACTGCAACAATAAGACCACCAATATAGTTTAAGGCATTTCTACTAGCTAAAATACAGGCTGAAGAGTTTTTCTTTCCACCCCTACATCATGTCATGAGTTTGTTTTTCTAGTAAATTGAGCTACTGTACGTGGCATACACTAGTAAAACCTATTTTCCGTTTTATCGTTACAAACATCTCTACAATCGGAAGGAAGAGATGATGAGGAAGCAGAGTGTGTGTAGTAGTGGGTGGTCCAATTACCCTCTGGTTTCGCGGCTTGCAACGCTAGAATATACTAGCACGTGCAACGCCACCACCCTAACTGTCTGATGGGTAATAAGACTCTTTCCTTCAAAGCTCTGAAAGCTAAACCGCCCGGCTTGGTCTGGGTTACGATTCCGCTGACATCATTAGCCAAACATCTGGCCCACTTCCCTCAAGTCTATCTTCCACCAGTGATGGGAGAACGATTCACATGCCACCTCGACGAAGACGTACACGACGTGGACTTTGAAATTTTACGATCAACGTCGAGAACAAACGTGATGAAGAAAATAAGATACTGGACCTCCAACAGTCTACTGCCACAGTCGAGCAAAGTATCATGTCTTTGATGATTGCGAAATATAAGCGATTGTACAGGAATGAAAAATAACGAATGCAACGAATTTACGCACCCTTTTGAGTGTGTACGACGTCAAAGAGAAGAAAGATGTGCTTTGCGGATGGCACAGTTTACGGCTCCGTTGACGTTGGAGGCAACTGAGAACTCGACTCATTTCCTTGTTGCAATTTACTTTGAGAAAAATGGTTAGGAGATGAGGAGAATAGAACTGGATGGGAATCATTCATTTTTGACTAAGTGGGTGTCTGAAGGGGATATGACAGACAAAATTAACATTGATGAAAATTTAATTTGTTCATGTTTCAGTATTTGAGAGACAATTAGGTTATTATTGATAAATGCATTTTTGTTATTAATGTATGAAAAACAATCAATAGCAATTAGATCATTACATTAAAGAGTTGAAAATATCAAGAGTAATTTATAGAAATTACTAGGGAATTGTGTTGAAAAAATCAAGGTAATATGAGATATTAAAAATGTATTTAGTCATCAAAAACCAAGTCATCTATCATCTATTAACTTGAAGGTAAACTAAATATTGCAATTTGTAATGATAATTTTATCAATTATTTTTCTATTGGTCAAGAAAAATGATACAAATTCATATTTAAACAGTCATTAATCCTTGAATTATCTGAATAATTATAGATCATTGCTAGCTACAACCTTTTTCACTGAAAAAGTTAGCATTTATCTATGATTTTAAATGAATTAATAAAAACCAGCTGAAAATTATAAAGATAACTTATAATTATTTTTATAAATTGTCTTTTAACAAATTGATCAAAGATGACTGTTAATTTTCAATACCTTTTTATGATGTTGCATCTCCTATCATGTTAGTTCTTCCTAATACTTAATAAAAATACCGACAGTTAGATGAAGAAAAGTCGACTCTATTAAAAAAATGTATGTTAACTTCATTCCTCAATAATAACCCTTTCATTAAAAATTATTTTTTATTTCTGCATAAAATACCCAATGCAACTAGAATTGTTGGCTATTAAAGATAAAGTTATGTGATATAATGAAAAGGGATTTGGCTTATTGAAGTACTGGTGTGAGTGAATTACAGTACTTGAGGTTTCTAATAATAGATTTAATAGAGACACGCTCATTGAGGGAGTCAACTTGCAGTGGCTACCAAGTAGTTTAAGTTGCAAGCACGGTGGCCAAGATGATGAAAGCAAATTCGAAGGCGGTTCTCATGTTGTGGGTCACTGCCAATGATGATGCATTCTAGTCACATATGATTTTAATTTGATATTTATTTAGAAAACACAAAGAAGAAGGAAATGAGTGACACATGATTAGCTGGAGAATTAGTAGAGTTTATGAATGAGGGAAACAACTGAAATACAACTGAGTAAATGAGAGAGCTAAAGTATCAACAGCATAATATAGCTCGGTTATGATTGGGAAGTCTTCTTGTGTGGTTCCAAGTGCCTCCTGTCTCATTTGAACGCGATTATTTATGTTTTCTTTCGTTCGACCGCCGACGCCTGCAGCCACTAAAACCATCGGCTCCTCCTTCAAGTCCCTGTTTCACGTGCGCTAACACGCATCACGTACTATATTACTTTCTCGCCTACACTTAAAAAAAATCGACCTGCTTATGGAGAATCTGAGGTATGCAGTTTTACATGCTTTCAGAGGTCAATCGCACTTGTATTTGACATTTGTTAAAAAGTAGAAGACAGAATATTATTTATTGGACATTCAACTCTGATTTTTATTCAATGAATTCCAACATTTTTCAATGAATATCATTATGATAGCATTCTTATATTAAATCAAAGCTTGGAAATGAAGTTATTAGTTTATGATTAGTTTGGATTAATTATTAGACAAATGCATGGATTAAAATGTTACAATATTCATTGATAGACATCAGCTATTCAAGTAGTATAAGTCAATAGATTGTGAATTAATGAAAGATAATTAATAAAATGTAATTTATAACTGATAAAAAAATGGTTTAAATGTATTTTGGAAAGTGGAATTATAAGTAAATAGAATGTATAGTAATAATATTTCAATTTTGAAAAGTTGTTTGAATAATTATTCTGTTATGCTTTCTGAATTATTGATGTAATAAATAAAGTAGAAATTTTCTGATCATATGTGACTGTCAGGATTATAATTTTCAATCATTAATATTTAATTTAGAGGTCTATAATGTATTCTTAAATATGACATAGACAAAGCCTAAGCATTCATCTTCAAAATGTATCAGTGAAATTATGATTTCAGCCATCAGTTATAATTTCTCTGAAGATTTGACTCGTGCTACCTTATTAATTGAAATCTTTATTTTATGTTAATGAATAGTTTGATTTTTTTAGTCTATAATGACCTTTAATAAATCATCATTCATTATTTATGATGCATATAAGAAGAAAATTTATATTAATTCTACAATAACTGAATTTTCTCATCAATATTTCAGGTAAGAGGTTTGTTTAATCAAAATATTTAACAATAAACTTATATTAAACTTTAGATATTATTTATAAATAATTCTTCAAATTTATATTAATGAGAAAAAATGTAGTTGTACCACCCTATTATTTTTTATGTGAAAAATATGAACCAAAATCGATAAATTACTTGAAAAAAAAATTGACTCACTCGAACACAACACATCTGTACAACACATTAACATCAGTAATTGATGGTTAAATCGAAAAAACCATTTTCTACTTTTAACAGGCAATTAAACGAACTGGCGAAGAGCCAAGTTTTAAAGCCAAATATCAAAATTGATACTTTTTAGTAAAGCAAATCATGGTATCTTTGAAATGACCTGTAGTGCCTTTTTGTCATCCAAGGCGAACAATATGTTTACCCAAGGCCTGTCTATTTATCCATCAACTGCGGACATTCGCCACCTGAAGCGTGTAAGCTTATTTTGGAGAGCAGAGAGACTCTATTTTCGATGGTGATTTGAGATTAACGAGCGTGAGCTGGTGGAGTAAAATGCCAAGCACAAAAAGGGTGTAACTTTCAGCTTTATAATACTCTTGAGCTTTAATTTGTAGTACATACATATATACGTCAAGAAAATTTAATTAATTTTCATGGTTCTGAATTAATTAACATAATTGTAATACTTGGTAATAGTCATTGAATTATTTAATTAAAACCACATATTTTTCACTTGTTATCCTTTATTAAGAGTGATTTTAATTATTTTTTCTCCAATAGCATCGCATTTTTAATTTTATTAATCTTAAAAGATTATTTTTAAAAATTAGAAAATAAGTAGTAATGTTGAAGTTCATTTATTGTAGAATTTTTATGACTTAAATTGTAAAAAGAAGTATGATTATTAAATTTAATTCATTAAATACTTTTTTATAGAGCTGTAATTCATTAATAAGCTTAAAATTAGAATTATAAACTATTTTTACTTTTATGTATTTAAAAAAAATTGAAGTTCATCTGCTTGACAGTGAACATAAAGTATAATCTGTCAATTTGTGAGTTAAATTAGTGAGTCAACAAATTTTTCTCATGTTTATCATAGTTTTAAGAAGATATTTTCGAACAATACTCCAAAATTTGACACAAAAGAATATTAAATAATCCAAGATAAAACATTTCTTAAAAATTATATAAAAAAGAGATCGAAAAATAAAAATGCAATTTTCATAGACTAAAAAATAATTTTCAAATTTTTAAATAGTAATATTTTCTGAATAAATTTTATCATGTATGTAAATAATGTAACTGATGTATACACTCATGTAAAACATTTTTACATAAGGAATAAATGAAATCTCCACTTTTTTTTCTTGATAAACTTTTCCATAAGACTTTATAGCATCGTTTATAGTGACAAGCATCCAGCAATTCTCCTTCAACTGTTCTTCCTCATGAAGAATAGATGCGTGCAAACCGAATTGCGAGATTTTTGCATGAGAATAATAGACTAACGGTTGAAGAAATGACAAGACGCGACATCGGGTAACGATAAGGAGAACGGATGAGAAAGAGACGAATAAAATGGTACATAAAGGGAAGAGAGAGCAGTTAACTTATGAATTATGACTGGCGCAAGCGAGAAAGACGGATCGAGTTGGTCGCGAGGTCGTTATGAGGGACTGGAGTGCGTCGTCTAAGAGGAAGGAAGCAAAAACTCACTGCAACGATACACTATGTCTAGGTTTATTTTTTTATTTTTTTCAATATATTTTTTATTCTTATTTTTTCTGCTTCTCTTGTCTCCCTGCTCTTTTCGACCCGCTCACGGGAAGTAGCAGCAAAAAATGCTGTTAAACGACCGGCCACTTGGTCGTTTCGGCAAGCGAACAGACATAAGAAATGCCGACGTGCGAATTGCTGCCGGCTATCGTGTCAAAATTCTTAAGGATTATTCCATCAATCTGTTTTGAGAAGTGATCGCATTATTGTTAGTGGGCTAATGTAACTTAATACATACTTGTTCTTTTGTAAGTTTCTATTTTAAAATTGAAAACGCATGACTTGAGGCATTTTTAAAATGGAAAAAAATTATAATAAAAAAACTGGTACAGTGGTGTTGTGATGGTGTACACGAGTGCAGAGTGTATAAGACGATAATGACAGTTGAGAGAAACGAACGTGAAAAGTGACGAAGAAAGTGAGAATGAAAGAGACCAAGAAACTCTGGGTAATTGCTGGCGCATCTCTTCGCACCTCATCATCATCATCAACAGCTAGGACTGTTGTCGTCGTATAAACGTCAGGAAGACGTCGAGAAAGAGAGGAAGTAGACCACCCGTTCGCAACATCGTTTCTATATTTCCACCTTTTTTCCTTGCGTTGAGAGAAATGCCCAAGAAAACTTTCCTGATCCATGGAGACACCAAGCCAAGTCTAATTATTGACCGAATTTATTTCAAGTTTATTGCGTTGCTTGAATTTTTGGTGAATGAGGATTGGAGAGGAATGTGTAGTTACATTTTAAGCATTTCTTCAGCAAGTATTCATGGTGCCTAGTCTCTCTGAGATGTTGAGAATGCAACATTAGGCCTGATGTGCACAGACCACCCAAGTTGTTACCATTCTAAACGACTATCGTGAAATATGGTAATATGGAGTCCTGCTGTCTAACTTGTGGAGACTAAGACGGAAGGGTTTTTAAAACTGAAGGAAGAAATAGATTGTTCTTACATATTTTTGATCATCTACTATAGACTAAGTCTAAAAATATTTTTAAATTTATGGAGAAAAATGAGCCATAACATTCACTGTTTTTCCTTTTAGATTGCATCAATCATCAAGATTGATTTTTCTAATTTTGAAAATCATCTGATAAATGACTTTTCTCATCTTAATTGATATTCAAATAGTTGGTAGCTAACAAAGATCAACAGCCAACGGGGCAGTATTATTTATTTTTACAAAGCAGAAATTGAAGTGGAAGTAGATATTATTTTAGCCAAGTCTTTAGTCAAAGTCTTTAAGCAATAATACCCATGAAGAATTAATCGCTTGCATTTTGAGATTATCGCAAAAAATCAATTTAAATGTCTTGAGTAGACGGAAGATGAAGAGGAGGATCAGAAAAATGTGTTTAATAAAAATTCAAGCAGGAGCATATAACTCTTTCGTCAACGTCTGCTCGCGCCTTGCCTGGAGTGACCGAAGCGAATTAATTCCCCGTTCCATCCCGCGGAGGTTGTTGAGAAAAAGAATGAGAGATAGAAGCAAAAGGTTGAAGGAAGGACGCATTCTGCCAAGGAAAAATAAAAGCTTATATCCAACTTGAATACAAGCTTGAAGGTTCACAGAGACTAAAAAAGGATAACGGTAGCTCTTGAGTGAAAGAGACAAGAGGGGGGCAGACGAATGAAGGGGAGTAAATAAAACTTACGAGCTGATTCTGATAGGCGGTGACGGCGGTGAAAATGGCCTCCGGGAATATGAAGGTCTTGTGTGGCTCGCGCTCAAGATCCTCTATCGGGTCCTTGGCACCCGAGTCCGGCCGCTTCACCAGGTGGATCCGTGGTTGGTACTTGTGCATCGAGTTCAGTACCAGCTGTAAAATTTCCAAATGTCAAAGAATTTACATCTGAGAGAAAAACGGTCGACAAATAACCCACCCTTCTTACTTCCTTACATTACCTCCAAGCAAAAACGTCTGCTTGGGCCAAATCAAACATCATTTGTTCTCACTCCCCAAGGAATATTTTCGAATTTTCAAATAACCAAACAGTAATATTTGCATTCCCAAACTTTTCTCTTTGTAAAATCATTTATTTATTCTTCCAAGCTTTATTAGATTTTAACCTCCGACAGATATGATTTTTGATAAATTATTGCACAAGCATGAGGGTTTAAAATAGTCTCAATATTAATCGACTGACTTTAGATTCATTAATATACACAAGATGTAAAATCATTTTGTGAGTATAAATAATTGTCGTCTGATAATTTTCCTATAAATACTTTAATTTGAGTGAAAATAAACGTGAACGTTATGCTTAATAAAAGCAGATGGAATTAATAATTATCAAAGTTATAAGTGTTTGGTTTAATTTTATGATCAATGCTTTAAATTCTAGTTACTTTGCAAAGGATAAAGAATTCATTCTGATTGAATTGAATTATCAAATTTAACTGTAAATTTATTGAGTTAAAAATCTGAAATGTTTTATAAAAGTTAAATTAATAAAAGCTTATTTTAGCTAAAGCTTTAAAAGTTAAAATCAAGAGATTCAATTATAAAATTATCTCAATTTTTCCTTCATTTTATTGTTATATAAAAACTAAAACGTTGACCATTTTTTTATAGATTCTATTTCAAATTGTTTGAGTTTAAAGCTTCCAGTAAATTGGATTCCTTGTGCTAAATAGTTAGCAGGTGTGGTAAACTGGTACAGAAGGTAGAGAATAGTTTTGAAACTTACATGCCCATGTCTATCCATCTCATTGTTGGTCAGTTTGACTTTCTCAAATGAAACAATTTGTTTTCTAAGCTGTTCTCCAGTGAAAGGAGAATCCGGATGAACATAAAGTCTTGCTGGAGCTGGAGGATCAGCCTTTCCTGCCACCAGCCATGAGCTCCTGTGGTAAGCATATCGATACCTTTTCTTGTCTACTGGTACTATGTCCATCAAAACAGCATACCGACCATCAGGCTTAAGTCCATTGAAAGATACTCGACAGGTTGGAAACATCCTCCTGTAACAGAAACATGAATAAATAAGTTGAAAAAGACTTGGAAAGTTCAGTAACAGTGAGTGGATCTAAGATGTGCAAAGTTAAAGATAGAATCTATTGTTCATTGTTACCACTACCACCACAACAATAGTTAGACTTCTTATTCACTGTATGTCAAGTGGCATGAAACTAGCGATTTAACAGAGGTCAGTCGTGGCCCATCAAGTGACAGCCACACCTACAGTGTCAGAAAGATTGGATAACCAATACACGATGGCTGTAACACGACCACGTTTACTCCAGCTCACACCACTTACTCCTGGTGCTATGTCTTAACGTGAATGTTTTGCCTTCAAGAGGAACATTAATACCGTGTCTGCCTCCCTGCTGCTCAACCACTAAAACGCGGGGACACCCGCCGATCTTATCTACGTCTTCTCTTCGGTCCTTGTCGACTCGGTATGCATTCATTCCGCCAGCGCCACTGCGTGAGTAATGCTTTTATTTATCAAGCCGTCTTTTGTTAATGAATTGAACGCAACGAGTGCGACAAATAAAATGTAGATGAAGTGGAGAAAATTGTCAGCTTGTGAATTCAAACCTCTCTAAATGCTATCTTATTCCAGTTAGACTAATCTAATACAGAGCAATTTATTTTGCTCTGAGAATTTTTTCCATGGAAAATGTCTTGTAAATTTAATTAAGTTTAAAGATTAAAATGGTTGAATCAGTGCTTCTGTTTGCTAAAAATGCTTTGGAGTAAATTTAATTGAGTCAGACACTTCTTTTTAAGAAAAATTAATGAAAGGAGTTTGAAGGAGCAAAAAGTAATTTGAATAATAAATGAATGTTTACTTTTGAATTAATAAATTGTTCATTAATTTTAATTAAAAATAATTTACAACCAAAAATATATCTTTGAACATAAGAGAGCAATATATTTAATTATCAAATAATCTTAATAAATTAAATCAAATAAAACATTTTAATATGGATTATTATGCAAATAAAATGAATATCAAAAAACAACACTACTTTATTTTATTACACATTTTATTGGATCAAAAATTGAATAGTTCAAACTCTAACTAGTTGAGCTTAGAAAATGATAAAACAGATTTTTAATTAATTATCTTGGCATTGTTAGGACAATCTAGTCGTAAAAGTATTATCCAAAACATTTCCCTTGTTGGAATTCACATGCCGTCATCACAATAGAGTTGCATCCGCCCCTCGGAATAACCCTAGATCCGCCCCGACGGAGTTTAGAAAGCCGCGAGATTGGCTGATGGGAAGTAAACTCGATGCAGAAGCAAACTTATTGTATAAAAGGGGACGACAGGGAAAATAAAGATGGAAAGGTAAGTTGACGGTTGAGGGAAGTAAGATGCTGCAGATCTAATTACTGATGCCTGAGTAAGTACTCAACCGGGTGAAGTAACAGTTCTTCGCTCACTGAAGTCTTTAGGGAAAAGCGAGGGTGCGCAACGTGGCGGACAATTAGGTGTGCGTCAGCCGCGTCGCTTACTGCACTTCTCACAAGTCTTCTTAACAGCTTTTCTATGGGTGCTTTATTTTTATTGTGTACATTAAATTAAATAAATGGACTTTTTTCATTCACTTCTTCACCGCATCAGGAAACCATCAGAATTCATTTCAGTGTTATAATATTTTTTTCCTGTTGTTTTGATGATGTTACGACCTATGAGTTCTGATTGAATTCGCAGCGAGTTGTGTACAGCAGTTTCTCTCACTCTTTATCTCGACCCCTGTGGCTCTGAACTGGCTTTCCGATGGAAGGGGATTCATGGCTGTTAATGAGAAAGAGTTGCCGCTTGCTGACATTGACGCGCTGAGTAAAGACATTGATGTAGTATCACACTTTGTGTTTAGAGAAAACCAGGGGAACAATTGACTCTCTTGGGAGAAGGGTTGAAAACGACGATGACTCAATCGATTGCTTAGATTAATGAATTAAACTTAAAATTACCAAAAGTGTTATTGCTATTAAACTTAATTGGATTGATAGCACAGCTTTGATTACTTTGAAAATTATATTATTTTTTTAATGCCAGGAAACTACAACGGAAATTTTTGGTATTGAAGAATTTATGTGAAGCCTAAATTGTCTGAAAAAATTGGAAGTAATTGAAGAATGAGAAATTTTACAAATGAGGTAATAAGCCCACACACGATCAGATTTTTTGGAACGTTTAAGAATGATGGTTGGATTCATTACCAACATTTTTCGTCCAATAACAAGCTTAATCACTTTAGCATCGTTAATTATTACTTTAGACTTTCTTAAATATAACAAAAAAAATATTTAAAAATTATTTGTAGCTTAAAAAAGTGCTTTCTGTACTTGTGTTCTTCATCATTTTTTTGCTTGGTTTTTCGAAGTTGAAACTGTCTTCATCCAATTCATCTAGCTATAAGTAATTATTTGTAATCAATTTAGATAATTACCTTCCTGTTTTAGTGATGATCATTTCAGTGCCTAGTTCATTGAACTTATCCCAAAGTTCTTTCGTTTCTAAATGGCAAACAACATGTCTTAGTTCCTCACAATTAGAATGTTCCTGAAGGAGAGGATTTGTTGATGGAGAAGGTGCTTTTCCACTAGTACTTCCAGCATCATCAGTCTCTACATCATCATCAATGTCTATAGAATCTGGTGGTGGTACGGAAATTCGACCAACTCCTGAAACACCAGCTTCCCTTTCTAAAACATAAAATAAAAAAGTGTTCATCATTATCATGACAATTCAGACATTTAAAGAAATATATCACTTGTTCAACTACAAATACACTAGTCATATTTTTTCGTATTTCCTTTTTTTTGAAACAAATTTTATGAGCAATATTTTCGATGCGGCCATGCGAGACTTTCAGTCACGATAATGAACCCGACGAAAAAAACTTGTCGGCGAGAGATTGAAAAAAGTGAAGTAGAGAGTGTGGTCTCGCATCCTCCACCCACATGTCGTCAAGCTAAGCTAAAAAGACTTTTTTATTTATATTATTTTATTTTATTCCCTTTTTTTCTCATTTCTCACTTCACCCCTTTCTCCCGCTGCTTCTTTTTTTATTTCAGCTTATTGCTTAAGCAGAAATAGTTAAACCACAAATCTAACGTGGATGTCACGCGCCGGATAAATTGAGTTTCATTTGGACACTTTTGATTATAAACATTGGATATAAAGCTGAAATATTGAAGTACTAAGAGCCTACAATGAATCTCATGTTATGAAACTTTTTAATATATTAATCCATTGTTTTTTTTTTATTATAATGAGCCACAAATAATGTTTTTAATTAAAAGTATTACAATCATTTTTTTTAACTCGAATATTTTTTTCCGGTATTTCGATTCGACATTAATTGAAATAAATAAAATTGTTGATAATCATTTTTTATTAATATTAAAAATTATCATTTCCATCTAACTGAAGCTTACATTTTTAAAATAAATATTATTTTATCATATTCAATGTCAAATGAATTTCAAAATGACTTTTAGTTAATGAATGAATAAAAAAATTAGCAAAAAAAATAACTCAATGTTCACATATACATAAAATAACATTTCATGAATAATAATTTATAAAACATTCAAGCCAAAATTCAGATCATTATTATCAGGGTCAATTGTTGAAATACAAATGGTCAATCGTCATTTCCATTGATAGCTCGCGAGCCATATTTCAATAACAGTTGGTCCCTAATTACCATTTGTGAATGAAAGTTATTAATTACTTTAGAAAATAATCCTCCTAATGGAATAAAATAAAAAATCTCCATAATTATATTAAAAAAAAGTTATTTTTTAAATGTACATGAGTAAATGCGAATCGAATTGAAGGCTACTGTTTGACGGCAGGATATAAAGTCTCTCGACGAATTCTTCGCTCCTTCGATGGTTATAATTTTTTTTTACTACCACCTTTACAGCGCTTCAAACGCAATTAGGCGCGCCAGGACTAATTGCTCAGCGAGTGAGCAGACAAGAAGAATATACGGATAAGATAGAAAGAGAGATTGAAAAGATACTTCAACTCGTTCGTAAAAGATGTAATAACACCTACGCTGGGTGTTGAAGAAAAAAGCCTTAATTATTCATTTACATTAAAGCTTGCTTTACGACACTTGTTTTAGTCCTATTAGCATAGAGTCGTAGAGCGTAAACGAGTGTAATTAGAAAATTTATTTTCAACTTTTCCTGACTTCCATTGACATAAAGCTCTTGTATAATTTACTTGGAAAAATTTACCGTTGATGTTCCAAAAGGGTATCCACGTTGATTAATTCACCTGATACAGCTGTGTCATGCACACAGCTGCTTATTAAATAATTATTTGATAATAGCTCAATATTGAATTATGCAGTGTTATGTTGTTGACGAAAATTTAACATTAAAGTTGTATTTGCTGACTCTCAGGTACGTTAGATAAAATCAATTGAATTCATCGGTAATTAAATTTATCGCCATAATAGACATGCAGGAGCATATTGATGTCTCTATTAATGTATAATTCATCACACTTTGCATTATGATAGTTTCATTAATTGATGAAAGAAAACGTTCGATATTTTTTAAACAATAATTGCTGATTTAAAATGAAGTTTTATGGTCGAAGTTTGGTAAATTGACAGACATAAACACTTGATTGAATTGATTAGCAGATTGTTTTTAGATGGAGGTTTAATTTATTCAAGATTTGGTATTTTAGTGAAGACCCAATTATTGTGAAATAATTTTACAGGTATTGAAAATTGATTATGATATATTTTAAGAATAATTGCTTATAATCTTGCTTCTGAATTAGAACTTCATTTTGATCTCAAAGATGATTTTCAACTAGCTCTATTTTTAAAAACTTGGCTATAATTGTTTTATAAAAGCTATTTTAATTCAAAGTAATATTTCAATCTCAAAAGTTATCTTAACATTTCATTTTATTTTCACCATTGAACCAGTAAAAAAGTTAAGTTGATTTAAAATATAATTTAGATATTTTATCTCATTTTTTTGGAGTATTAAAAAAAAATGTTGATATTCGTTACATAGTCTATAATATTTTAAAATTGATCCCAAGTTGTTTGGTATAGCGAAGTGTTGTCTAATTATATATTTTATAATACATTTTACAGCTTCATGAAGTTTTATGAAGTTTTGACTTAAGAAAGTCATTAAGCACAACTTGGTGTAGAAACTATACACGTGAGTACAATCATAACTCTCAAGACTTTAGAATCTTGATCGCTTAGTCATCAGTAAAATGACTTTTTAAATGATTATCTCAAATCCTCCATCGAATGAAAGGCTTTTTTAACTTTGTTCAAGTAATTATAAATGAAACAAAGAAAATAATAAACCAATTGAAGTTGTTTTTCTTCACAAAATACCTTTTTTGCACTTATTATCCATGTCCACAACACAGATTTCATGCTTTTAAACCCTATCATACTTGAGAAAATGGTTTTGCACAACAATTTCTCTCACTTGCCACATTGCATGGTAAATTTCGCTTTTATAAAACAAAAAAATATTATGAAATTTTCTCTTTGTACTTTATAATGGTCATTAACTTTTACAAACGTTACAAAACAACTTGGACTTATCAATAAAAAAATAAATAGTAATGCATGACTGAAAAAGTTGTCATATATAACACATAAACGAATAGATAAATAATTACAAATCGATTTCACTAAGAGACTTTTAAGTTAAAACTAATAAATATCAATATGAAAAACAAGTGATTGCTTGAAGGTGTTTGAGATTATCCGTTCTCTTTTCAACGCTTTGGCGGCAAATTAATAGCAATGCTTCTGACCCGCAGAGACTTAACAGGAGACGATGGCGCACTGCAGCTAACCGGCCATTATGCGTGGTTTTATTATCGCTAACTTGCCTGCGTTTATGCGAAAAGCAACATGACTCCACCGACCACACTAGTACAGCACGGATATAAGCTAATCTGCACGAGATTTTTCGATCCATTTTTTAACGAGTCGCTTTATGTCCCTGCTTTGGATTACTTGACATCAAATTGCATACAGAATATTAGATTAGCTGTATGTATATAATAATAAGCTCTGAATTAAGGATCAATTTATTCGCCATTTTTCTTTCCTCACGTCGTAAAATTATATATTTTATGATTTAAGTTGAACTATTGAACCTTCTATGGATTTGAAGGAAGTTAAAATTTTATGTAAGTACTAGTTGTGTCTTTAGCTCGTCTGTGTTTAATAGCTCACTTCCTATGCCGCTTACAGTGAAGGTAAATAGTCTATATTAGACGAGAATTGTTAAGTTATTAGCTAAAAAAGGAAATAAATTAAAAATAGTGTAGTTGCTTTGAAGTTGGCAGTAAACATACAGACTATTTCACAACAAAAAATATTTTGCTCACTCAAATACAATAAAATACTTGGAAATGATTATTGTCAATAAAAAATAAAATATCAAATAGAAATTTTAAATAGAAAAGAATAATTAAACTTGAGTTTAATGAGCAATTACAAATGTGAAATCAATAAACATGTGTATTTATATAATAGTTGAAGAATGAACATAAAATTATTTTTATGCCCGATATAAATTTTTTTGCCACATAAAAATGAAAGAAAATAGATAAATTGTTTTAAAGTTTTTTTTTATTTATTAATGGAATTATTAGATGGTGTGTAATATATGTAAATATCTGTCTTCATTCTTTGAACAGAGTTGGAATATCTAGAGTATACTGTAATAATGTATATTACTGCTCATAAGTATTTGCTCACCCTACGTTATGTCTCATTTACTTCAATGGAAGTTAGCATTTAATATTTTCCTACGATGAATCAAGTAATGCACTTGTATTTGTTTTAGTACCCTCTCTGAATTTCTTATTAAAATCAGATTTTCTTTTATACTAAAATATTCATCAACTCTACATGTCTGTAAATTATAAAAATCTTAAAATAAATAATTAATTAATCCAATAAGTTTTCTTATTTCATTATTTTCATTATATTTAATCTTATTTTTCTGCCATCATAAAAGTTAATGCTTATAATAAATTTATAAACAATATGATTTATATTAAAATTGGGTTAAAACTGGAATTATATGCTTATTAGATTCTAGGATACGTTATTTTAATGATTGATTAATGAAAAGAATGAAAAATTATTCATGACTCTAAGAAAATCAATTTATCTGATAAATGGATTTCATTTAAAAAGGCAGAACTAAATGAAACCATTCCGTTAAGTATGAAGACTTTATGTAAATCATAGGTGACATTACAGTCAGATCGACCAGTCGGTCTACTACTTGGTATAAGAGATTCTTGTGTTACTCTGAAAATTTCATTTTCTGGTACGGTCGCAACTCCATATGCTACTTATGCATGCACGTGCCACCTTCACGGTACCAGAAATGGCGGTACTTTTGAACGCGTGACCAATTGTACAGTAGTAGCATCTGGTACTCATATTAGAATGTAATGAGAGAGATTTGAGGGAAAAAATAAATGAAATAATCAGGCTACTATATAGTGACAAAAACAAGGCTCTAAAACCGCCACCCCGAAGTATCTCTTAATTGGCGAGAGATGTCTTTCCTTATATTTTACTTCTTCATTTTCTTTCTGTGTGTGGTCTGTTATATATTCAACGTATTTTTATTCGACAACGTCAACGGTGGTGTTAAACGACTGACGAAAAGGACGACGACGCGACGTAAACGGAGGCGAGGAGAGTGGAGTACGTTGTGAAAAGGCGTAGGATGTAATTTACGACAAGATTCAGAAGGCAAGAATGTCGTGAAGATGCAACTGAAGGAGTGCCGAGAGTAGGACGATGAGTAGCATCCATGGCTTTAAAATAATTCAACGGGTTGACATACGGATCACATGTGGAAAAGCTTCTCTATGATCAGAAGACTTGAAAGAAACTCACAGCAAATTATGAGAATTTTCTGAATGATTGTCCGACAGTGGACATAAGTCATAAAATCACCAAGTGATGAACATTCATATTAGTACATGGACAGTGCTTTGAAATAATTCTGGACCACTAGACTACTGTCTGCTTCACTGAGTTCCAACCTGCCAAAAAGAACTCGTGCCAACAACCCGTTTGCCAAAACTATCATAAACAATTTTACAAAGTTGTAGAGAAACATTTTAAATAAAATTATTTCTTTTTAATTCACACAACAATGTCTGATGATAAGAACTTCCAAACCAACAACTGCTTCAAGCAGACAATTGTTTGAAATGTGTAAAGTCGTCTATTAAAATTACATGACGTAATAGAGAATTCATTTATCTGTTCAGGTGCCATGATTGTCATTTATCGAATTCTAATAAAGTTTGTTGAACCATCATAACAGGTATATAATCTGATGATATCCAATTTATTACCAATAATTTGACTCTATTTAATTTTCTTCTTCAAATCAAGATGAAATGTTCAAATTAATTTGGAGTATTTATTGAATAAAATTAGAAATTGATGTAAAAGCGAGTTTTTTATTGATGTATTTTATGCATCTCTTGCATCTAAAGCAGACAAAGGAGCAACGGGTAAGCCGTTAGCTTATAGTTCACTTACAACATCAAGAGCCAGTTCGCGTGTTACATTCAGCATGGAAGATCGAGGTCCGCGAAAAGGAAGGTTATCCATTCTAAATTATAGACAAGAACGAAACCAAGATAATAGCTATTCGCGATCCACGTGGCAAGACAGTGTTACGACCGAGTTTTCTGTAATTTGCCCTTGCCATAAAATCCATCTGAAGCAGCAAGAGGCGGGTGCAAGCACTGAGAATTGCTATATACAACCTATCCAAGCCATGAATGTATACATTATCCATCATTGTAAAAATGTTGAACAAGTTTTTCCTTTTGTTCCTGTATTTAATTAATTATTTTATTCTTTCATCGTTATTTTGTTTCATATTGTAGATGTATGCATGCGTTGCTATCACATAAGTCAATCTTATCTATTACCAGTTTCCGTCTTGATGATTGCATTAATCAAATCATCAACTGAAACGTAATGATGAAGCCTAGATGACATGTTGAAGGAATACGATACTAGACTCCTAATTTAACACTCCTAATTATATATTAGATATACTAGATCTCTCAACTGAGTTATATATGACTATCATTTCTGTCTTTTTCACTGGATTCTGATTCATGTGCTTGCCACCAGATGGTTAGTAGGAATGTATTTCCTCATGTCACTAGAAATAATCGTTTATGGATCTTTAGATGAGTTTGTCTTCAATAATCAACTTTAATAGAGTCTAACAGTTTTCAATTAAGGATATTTATTTTTTTTTACTGTATTCATCACATTCAGAAAAGTGTCAAGAAGACCTAGACTAGTTAGAGTGATGTCTGAAAGTTCAGGAGTTATTTTAAACTCAATAAATCAATGTTCTAGTGTGGTCCCACGTTTTGATGAGAAATAAAGATATTTAGTTTAATTTCTAGTCGACTATTATTTTTTAAAATCAAAACAAGTTTAGATAAACATTTAGAAATCAATAAACTAGATTTTTGTGCTATCATACAGGCTTTGGTAATTGTCATTAATTTTAAAATAATGATTAAAGATACTTTTAAAATTAAAAACAAGTGAAAGCAGGATTATGTAGAATTAAAAAGATCATCTCTTGATGAAATAGAGTTGTGAATTTTAAAATGAATGAAAACTTATTGATGAACTTGTTTTCTTTGAACTTGAAATATTGCATGATTTTCAAAATATTCTGAAGTGTTTCAAATTGGATTACTCCGGTAATCCAGTAAAGAAATACAAAAAAATATTTCTCACTATTCACTTAGATCTGACTGATTACCTAAAAATGACCCTTGCAAAGGTAAAAACTGTGACAAATTTCGAACAATGTTCATGTTTATCCAACAGCATTGCATGAATCAATACATTGAAGGTCACGAATTGAAAAACAAACTTTGACACAAATGTGGTTTTCAACATCAATTTAGGCACATGTCGAGGTATATTTTTGCCTGCAATATAGAGATAATAATCACCTATTATGCAGTACCATGTCAGCAACTTTCTGGTAATGTAGCATCCAAATTATACACGCATCCTTTGTAATCAATACATTGTTATACCGACGTTTGGTTATCAGTAAATAATATGGTTTTGGCAGAAAGCCCTGGTTGGCACGCATGCTAGCTTCAAAGACACTCCATTAACGTTGTCATTTCACGTCATGTGAAAAATATATGTCTTGGAGGCAAGTGGACAATGAAGAAGCTATTTGCAGTTCGGAAATAGACTTATGACGAATGGTTATTTCGGATCATTTGGTGCAAGTAAATTTTGAAAGTATTTATCTTTCATTTAATTATGCAACGCTTATGAATGATCACACTTTGTTTTTAAACACAAATAAATAATGTTGTACCTGTAGTATTGATCGTTTTTTTCACTCAGATATGGATCACGCTGTTTCTAATGGATATTTTTGCAACTACACTTACTAGAACAAGTGATAATATATTGATCTAAAAGACTATTTTAATAACTCTAACAACACATTGAGCATCAACATGAACATGTTGATTAGAATCTGCATAAAATAACGTATCACGTTTGTATGATTCTGAAATATTCTAAATTATGCCAAGTAAAAGCCACGTACCATGTGAATGAATCTTTCCACTTCCAATAGGTGGTTGTTTGTGATGTGCTTGTTGTTGCTGAGCCTGTTGCTGTTGTTGACGAGAATCTCGTGCCATGATGGCAGCTATGCTAAAATCAGTGGCGCATTGGCGATTGGAGTTGCAATTATTGTTATTGTTGTTGTTATTATTGTTGAGAAGACTACTGTTGGGTGATGGACTTGAACTATCATCTCCATCATCCTGGGTACATCCAGGTATTCCAGTTGCTACGGCAGTGGTCGCCTCCGGCTCGCCGCATCGCGGCATCTTTTCGCCGTCGGCGCCACCGAGAAGAGAACGTGAGTCCTCTTCGTCTTCTTCACTACCGGCACCACCCCCGCCGTAGGTAGTCAGGGTCAGTCCGTTTCTCTTCCTTGCAGCGAGACTTCGCGACTCCAGCAACATCACCTATACTCGCGTCCGTAATCCAACCACTCGTGTTCCCTTATGCCTTATCACTCTCACAGAATAATTATCCGGATATCTTAAATGATCACTGAATTTATTTATATCCTTGGTCAGATATCTTTATAAGTTGGCCAAAGGATATTTTAAAATCAAGCACACAGTCTAGAGCATACTCCAAACGAGAATTCAATGCTTTTCATAATTCGTCAACTCAACTGATTGATTGATGATATGTTAAAACACTATAATACTATTTGATATATATACAACATATACATAATTGATGATAAACAAATAGAGTATCACTTGGATATGTTAAAGCAGCAGTGCCATGAGGGAACTAAGTCACGGGTATACTAGCCGACTCACAGAGATAAAGTGACGGCAAAAGAACATGTACACCTTGTTCAAATGAAAACGATGTTTTGAAAAATCGTCAGCACGAATGGGATGGACCGAGCTGAGAACGCGCGGACAGCGATCGGTTTAGACCGAGTAACAGACCGGTTGCCTGACAGACTGACCTGCGCCGCGACGGGATGGCTCGCGTTCCCGTCCGCCCCCCTTGCTTCTGCCCCTCAATTCCCCTCTTTCCACCCTACGACGACATGAACGAGAACGTATTACCGTGCTTAATGTAGGCGTGACTTAACAATAAACTCCGCCTTCGCGATCAGCACCGCCTGGCCACTCCTACAAAAAGGATCTTGCATAGAACCCGACGTTACTGCTTGAGCTGCTGTTGCCGCTATACCGCCTTCACGTTCTCTCCAACACCATTACACCGTCGTCGCTTACCACCACTAAAACCTCCACCCCATTGCAAGGCTAAGCGTGTACGTGCGAACGTTCACGGGTGGCGACCCTCGTCTCTTTGCCATCCCACTTGCACTTATGGCTATGCTTTCTCTACCTTTCTCCTTAGCCCCGCATCAGAAGCTAGTGAGCTACGATACAGGGAGCCCAGCAGTGCGATATACTGTATTATAGTCTCGTATGCGCCATCCGAACCCGCGCGGCCAGCTGCCATTTTTTCTTACGAAGGGATGGTGAAGGAGAGAATGCGGAGATGTGGCGGTAGGGAGCAATTGCTGACAGGGACCGCTTTTCCCCTGGCCCAAGCTTCACTCGGTGAGTAGCAATTTATTGTTTTACTGTCGGACTTTAAACGCCACTCTAGAGTGGGGGGAGTAGGTAGGCGGTGGGTGGGAAACACCACGAACAAAAGAATAACAGTGAGAGAAGGACAACACAAGTGGGTGGATGATTGAGGTTTTATGGATAATAAGGGTGGGGAAAGGCTCAGCCTCGAAAACCGAGAAAATGCACATGAGACTTTTTGCTACATGTATTGGAGTATATACACACTTTATTGGTGTATCTCCAACTCCCACCTCTGGAATATCTACAGACACTCAAGTCTCACAGTTCGCGATTATGTCGCCATCATTATTCTCGCCCTTTTCTCATTTTTCCAACGTCTTTGTTCACTTATTTTCGCCTTATGTGCATGGAATACACCCTCCTGTTTCACTTCCTCAAGACCTCAGTTTTATTATTCTCGTTATTACGCTGCATATTCTCAGGAGGTTGAAATAGTCAAGATGCTCTGACTCCATGACTTTTTTCATCTTCACTAGATCTTATGTACCTTTCATTATATACTGTAAGTCCATTATTTTCTCTCTTTACGTGTTTTAGCATGCCAAGAGAAATGAGTACTAATTGATGTATTTATCAAAGATGGTAATAGAGTGTATGGACTCGTAAGGGATCGTTCGTAAGTGATAATTATTGATATGCAATCTATGTTGTACCACATGTGCATATTTAGCTGCAATGCATTCCTACACGAGTTCGAAAACACGCTCGTCGAGCGATCAAAAAATGGAATGTGATCGAAATTAATATGGTTGAGTATTATCGTTGCCAATTGGTATACACCAGACACCAAAACCTTTCATTTTTTTCGGTCTTTTTTAATGAACGGGTTTACATAATTATGTTTATTATAATTCGATGATTACCGACTGTATGTTTCTGTACGTGAAAATATTTGATAAATGTGTATAAATGAATATTCATTATAAATTTTTACTGATAATAATTAAATATTTTTTTTTTAGAGGCTGTAATGATAAAGTTTGAACCGAAAATAAGTATGTTGAAGTCAGAAAAGGCTACACGATAACTTTTGGAAGTGAAAAGATTAACAAGTTTTTTTTTTTCTCGATGCAATTAAAACTAAAAAGAACTTGTAATTTCAATACAGATCTTGTTAAATTAATTTCCATTCATTCAATTACCTTTCTCGATTATTATTTACTTGTTACAATCAAAAAACTTGATAAACTAACTTTTACTGTCAAAATAAATTTTTTGGAATAAGAATAAAATTAAAAAAACAATGATTAATTTATAAATAATTTTTAATGTAAAACACTTAAAAACGTTTTAAAATCGAGACAATGTTAATCATATGGGTGACGTCATATTAAAACACTTTTAATGTTTTAAAATAAAACACTAAAATTTACAGCGTCACAATAAAATGTTCCTTTTTTAATATTCTTCAAAAGAAGTATTAATAATTTCGGATCAAACAATTTTTTCCATTACTCCAAAATGATTTAGAGCCACCATATTCCATTAGAACACCATAAAAGCTCTACTTCTGAAATAAAACCATTCTTAGATACAAAAAAAGAATTATTCAATGTCTGAATATTTTTTTTCATGTTCCAAAGTGAATTTAAAGTCAGTAGGATCAATTTATCAGTAGCTGGAAACCTACTCCAAAATGATAAAAGCTATTAAAACCAGTCTTCGTTGACTTTAAAAGTTGAAAATGGCATTAAATAGATGAAAAAGAAATACTAGAAGACAAAATAATGGATTGACTCAAAATCGGTTTAATAACTGCTGAGTTATAAATGCAAATATATACAGACAGACAGACAGATGTTGTATTTTATAACACACATACATTTTGATACTGGTGAACGCATCAATCATCATCTAGACGTTCTTTTAACCAATAGAGAATTTTTTTAGACGCCATCCAAGTGACAGGATATGACGATATGAAGATGTATACTGCTGTCCATATATCCACATCAATAGAATATATAAAAGATACTAGTTCAGTGTCTGTTTATGTCACGTCTCTTTGAAGTGGTTGTTGGAGTTTCATCTCATCGTGCGTCTGCCAACATTAATAGCCGGGTTGTACCTGATCGTAATGCACGAGCAATAACGATAATAATGCTCATGGTGTTATATTCAGTTGAAAAAAAAAGAAGAAACTGCTAGCGGCAAAAGAACGAAACGACCGGAAGCGCGACGGAGCGGCTCGTCTTTGACGCTAATTCGCGTTAGGAGTCTTCAAATGTATGATTAATGCTTGTATAAGAGACGTGGAATTTTCATACACAAGCGTGGAGAAATGCTCGAGTGCATCATCTTAGAGTAGAATTTTATGAGCTGAAGTTTCTTAAGCTAATGAAGGCCCTAAAGGATTTTTTTCTCGACTTTAAAAGACCCATCTCTTGCATCAGCATATATTTAAATATTCAGTTAAAAAATTGTTAGTTTATCTGTATCGATTGCTTTCAATCAGAAGCTTCTTATTCATCCATGTCAAAAGTCTAGATTCATCTTGATCTTATTCATCCTCTGAATAACACTGCATACATATAATATAATATTTCTTTTTCTCAAGTGTCAAAAATTATGAACGACGACATTTCGTGGAAGGGATACATTCACATGCATACATAAGTGATCGAGATTCGATGATTTTGGTAGAATGAGACAGTGAATGGTGAGAAATCTTTTATATAACAAATAATAGATTTGATCATTTTAGTCTATTTTATACACTTACTCATTTATAGATATAGCTCCCGATGGATTCAAGTCTGAACTCCCGTGTCGAATATTGTATTCTCCTACGTTGTCACTGATGCTACTTGGTTCAGAGGGGAGCTTTGGATAATCTGCTTAGCTTGACGCTGATCCGGACAAATCGCCGCGCGGTTACGCGGCACTTATCCAACTGATGCTGTGTTACACCTCGCATGGCTTTCGATATCAAGCGAATCTCCAAGTATAAAATATGTATATGGAATGGACTGTGATAATTTTTTTTGTCGATTGATCGATATTTATGATAACGGCAGCAGGGATCGTCACGTGAGAAATGAAAGATGTATTTTGCTGAATAAAAAATACGATTTGCGATTTTATCGACATTTTTTTTTGTCCTGTTTTTTATTATCAGTTCTTGCTTATGTTATTAATATTAATCACAATTAACGGCTGTTAATGAAATGATAATTGATTATTTTATGATGTTAATAGCTGGAATGGAAAATTTATTTGGTAAGAATTAATGAATTTAGAGTGAAGATTATTCCAAAAGCTTTCACTGCAAATCTTAGTGTTTTATTTTATACATTAAAAGTGGTTTATTATGACGTCACTCATTTGATCAACATTGTCTCATTTTTAAAACACTTGAAAACGTTTCAAAAACGACAAAATGTTAATCAAATGGAAGACGTCATATTAAAACACTTTTAATGTATAAAATAAAACACTAAGATTCGTAGTGTTTGGAGCAACAGGATCAATCATTCTACTATTCTAAAATGAATTAGTGGTTATTTATTGTTTTCTAATGCTCAGTTAATCACTGATTCAATCAATTGTAGGTTTAGCATTGGGAATTAGAGAATAGTTACTGACTTGTAGTGGTTTTGACTAATTTATTTTTATCGAACAGAAACAAAATTTATTTAATAATGTTTATCAGAACTCTTTAAGCTTCTTTTAAAATGATCTTAAACATTATTTAAGAATTTCTACCTTTTTATTTTTTATTATTAAAAATTGAGTTGTTATTTAATAATTCACTGTATATTTACAGATATTCCTTATTCATTTTACCATTTTCAAACACTGCAAATCGTAGTGTTTAAATTAAAAACACTTAAAATGTTTTTAAATGACATCACCCATTTGATTAACATTGCTGTAATTTTTAATGCACTTGGAATTGTTTGAAAAGTTACTACATTATTAATCAAATGGGTGACATCATTTCAAAACACTTTAAGTGTTTTAAATTAAAACACTGCTATTTGCAGTGAAAAAATTCATTAAAATCGATTCTTAACAGTGATTCTAAATTCCTAAAATAAAAAAATTGGCCTATTCAGAGCTAAATACAATTTAAATGAACTTCAAATTCCTTATCGCTGTCTTGATTTTATTTCTAATAGGATGGCAATTTCTATTCTCTGAATAAATAACTTGCTATGTGTGTAATAGATGACTATTATAAGTCAATGGAGCGTTTAGGTGGGTTTTGTGCCGTTGAAAAAATGATCTTTTGACGTATTATAGGGTATAATGTGAGAGCTTCAACAATGGAATATACTTCATTCAAAAATGATTGACGTCTGTTATTGGGTGCTTTTGCAAAGGTACCACTGTGTCTG